CGTGGTTGTGTGTTTGTGGTTGTGTGTTTGTGGTTGTGTGTTTGTGGTTGTGTGTTTGTTGTTGTGTGTTTGTTGTTGTGTGTTTGTGGTTGTGTGTTTGTTGTGTTTGTGGTTGTGTGTTTGTGGCTGTGTGTTTGTGGTCGTGTTTGTGGTTGTGTGTTTGTGGTTGTGGGTTTGTGGTTGTGGGTTTGTGGTTGTGTGTTCGTGGTGTTGTGTTTGTGGTTGTGTGTTTGTGGTTGTGTGTTTGTGGTTGTGTGTTTGTGATTGTGGTTGTGGTTGCGCGCTGTCGTTGAGGTCTGGCAGGGAACACTTAAGGCCTGGAGCTCGCGGTTGAGGTCCGGCAGGGAACACTGGGCGCGAATGGTCGTGGTTGAGGTCCGGCAGGGAACACTGGGCGCGGATGGTCGCAGTTGAGGTGCGGTGGGAACATTTGGGTCTGGAGCTCGCGGTTGAGGTTTGGCAGGGAACACTGGGCGCGGATGGGCGCGGATGGTCGTGGTTGAGGTCCGGTGGGTAACACTTGCGTCTGGAGCTCGCGGTTGAGGTCTGGCAGGGAACACTGGGCGCGAATGGTCGTGGTTGAGGTCCTGGCAGGGAACACTGGGCGTCGATGGTCGTGGTTGAGGCTCGGCACGGAACACTAGGCGTGGATGGTCGTGGTTGAGGTCCGGCGGAGGAGGACGCGGAGGAGAAGAAGGAGATGGGGCTGACGTAAAATCTAACAACCCTCACCTGACAGGTGGAGAAAAATGTTTTTGTGAGCGCACGGCCTCTTCAATATATACATCCGGTTGTTACATCAGTAGGAGCCGTCAAGGGAGTTGTTTTAGGACGCAAAGTCGCAGCCAGGGCACGCAACCACTTCCAATGGACAGGGGTCGGTGCACGTGGAAGATGTGATTGGAACCAGAAATGTTCATGCCATCCAAAACTGCAGCCTCCCCAACACTCAGAAGATCCCACGATATAAGAGGCAAATCATCTGAGAGCGAGATGTAGGCGCCTCTACCAATCTGAGATCCCATGAGGCGAAAAAGAACGTTGGGCAATTCTGTCCTTTCCATGGCTTTCATGGTGGGCAATGCAAGCACCCATTCTTCGAAATGTCGAAGTCCCTTTAGGCATGCCATTTTCCAACCCCAAATCGGCCAAATGCCTTCCTTCACTGTTCCAAGCAGAAGGTTCTTGGCTGCCCACATCAAAATGAAACTCGAAAAGAGCTGCGTCACGCAGGCCATAGAATAGAATACGAACATTCCAAAGAGTGCAAATGTTGGCGAGGTTAGTTGCACCACAGGATGCGTTTGACGGAAGCACACCGTCAACATCACAAAAAATGGCACCTCGCTCAGCATGCGCAAGAACCATCTGAGGCTGACGCTCATTGTTGCGAAAAAATGCCTTTCCAAGGGAATAGGTTCCCCGATGGCATGCACATTCACTAGAGGCACCACAGCCATTGGCTTCTGAGCTGCCCTTTTTTCAGTTCCACTGCATTGAGCAGGCTGCACTGCTTTCTGAGTGTTCAACCTTGCACATCGAACAAGCACCAACATTCCCTAGAAACTTGCAAGTGTGAATATGTACAGTACTCAGTACTGCAGATGTCTCTTTTGGGGGCTTTGGGCTTTGGGTTTGTAGGGTTGTCTTTTGGCCTCGTTTGCTACAGTAGCTTCCCTTTGGGCGATAGCTTGATAGCTTGCTTGGAGGCTCCAGCGATGAACCTTGTCCAATTAAACTCAATTCAGTGGAGACGTCCATTCGTGTACCTGCAACGTTTGTGAGTGTTATAGCCACTTTCCACTCGAAGTCTTCAGGCTGCTGCAGAACGATTCAGGCTGAGTGGAACCTGATTTTACTCAGGCAATTTGTTCACTTATGGTTAAACATGTTTGAAACTTCGCGCGTGGCCACGGCAACAATATCGCGCGCACTAATTTCTCGGGCGTGTGTGTGTGCGTCAACCTCTGTTCCCAAAAGTTTTAAGTTGCACTTAACTCACTCAAGCAGGGGGCAGCAGGGAGTCCACAGTTTTGCTGCCAACGAAGACAGCTGCAGATACTCCGTCAAGCGGATTGGGGCGCCAATCTGTGTACCTGCAAATTTAACTGTTGACCACGCCGTTCCACTTTCGTTTTGCTTTCATGGTTGTTCTGCACGATACTTCCCTAAACAGGTTTCCCTCAGCCGCTTTCCGCAGACTTTCGTTTCACCACTGCAGCCACGCACGAACCTTGTTGTTGCAACACCTGCACGTCACTGGTCACTGGACTCAGCCGCCTTTCTGTTCCCTCGTTCATTTTCGCGTGGAATTGGGTTATATAACTGAAAACCCTTTGACTAAGTGTGCGCCGCTCTGAGCCCCACTGGGCGCAGGGTGTGATCTCCCGCAAGGGAGCACTGAAACCATTGGGAATCACGTACTGGCTCGTCGGATTTGCATTTGTGAATCAGGTTTACCGGCTCTTTTTTGTCTCACCCATGAATTTTCTGACTCATATGCTGCCGAGCCACGGAGACTCGACACCGCCGGGTTCGCGGCATTTCTCCCGATTTTGTTTCAGAGCTTTCGCGGCTCAAGTCTTTTGATGCTGGCATCCACGTTCGTTCATGCACTGTTACAGGTTTGATTGGCCAGCTTCCCAACATTTTCGCGACTTTTTAGGTACAACTAGTTTCCTTTGTACACCCCGATGGACGTTCAATCCACATTTTGACTAGGTTTTGCTGCACTTCCAGTTTCTACGTTTGGAAGAAAGATCTTTTCCAAGATCAATTACCCTAAGTCACCGAAATTAGTAAATTTACATTTTTATTGGATTTACGTAAATTGATGAATTTAGGTGGCAAAAAGTGTAAATGGGTTAGTAAATGTAAATTTGATTTAGGTACAACCTAAATTTATTTAGGTTGGTCTTCACTAAGGGTTTTTCCTATTTTTCATTACTTTTGATTTGCAAATATTCAATCTAAAACACATCTTTTGAAGAAAGTAATTTGTAAAACATATAGCCACAAGTAGAGACATTTGGATAAAACCACAAGCGCACACACTCAGGTATAAGCACGCAGGAAAGACAAGCGCAAGAAAAATAACTTGGGTATAAGCACCATGAGCTTTCCCTCCTTTGTCCTGTCCAGGACTTGGTTCACTATCTTGCGCTGTTCTTCTGTGCGTCCCTTCTTCATGCTCAAGGTCTTCTTCCAAGCCTGCGCAACATAGTCTGGCAGAGAGCCCTCAGACAACAAGGCCTTGAACTTGTTGTCCTTCGACCTGTCCTTCTTGGCCTCATCGCACTAGAAGAAGTCTGCATTGTCCTGCTCCTCCTCCTCCTCCTCCACATTCTCTTGGTTGATCCTCTTCAACTTCTGGTGCTTCCTCCTCCTGATCCTCCTGCAACCCTGCTGCCCAGCCATGAGCTGCTGGCTTCTTCTTTGGCTGTACGGTCTCTCCACTGGCAGCAGGCCTTTTCAAAGAGCATGGCTTTGGCTTTGGCTTTGGCTTGCTCTTTCCTTTTGCTTTGGGCTTCTTCCCTTTACGGCTCTTTGCTTTTGGGCTCTTGGATTTTGGGGTCTTTGCTTTGGCAGCTGGCCCTTGCTTCACAGGTGTACTGGGCTCTTCAACTACACCATCCATCGTCCTTCTCCTCAGGAGTGACTTGGCCCGTGGGAATCTCTTCCTCTGCCATGCCAATGCCAACAAGCTACTGCACCTATCCTTCAAACCTTTCAAAGCTCTTTGAGATCAATCTAGCTGCAAAAGTAAACAACAACCAATAAGCCAGCTGTGCAGTAAACTCTCAACAACTTCAATTTGAACAACATACAATGCTGATCAACTCTTTGTGCAA